CATCAAGAAGCTATATGTCTTTCTGTCGCTACCCCTGAAAACCCTTTTTCTACCTGTTTGGTGGGGTTACCTCTAGACACCTGGCCAGATCCAATGCCTGAATTTTCCCTTTGTAATAACCCACAGTCCTGTGTCGATAATTGGGACGGTGTGTATGCACACCGGCCTCAAGTGATGCAAGAACCTCAAGAGTTAGAGTTGTTAGGATCAGTCATCGTGAATGCCTGTGTGATGTTTAATTATACCTATAACACCACTCGAAAGGGTCAGAATGTAAATGCTATTTTGCCTGTATATAGAAATGCTACAGCTCATTGTAACTATATCTATTCCAGAATATCACACTCTTTTTTTCTATTCCAGCTGCTTTACCTGCGGGGATGTTTTTAATTTGTGGGGATAGAGTGTGGGGGGGAATTCCATCGAAACTTAACGGGAGGCCATGTAGCCTCGGATGACTTACGTTACTAACACCCGATATCAATATGATTCACAGTAAAAGGCTCACAATAACTGACACAGGGTTAAGTGGATGGCTAGCAAGTTTGGGAATTACGGGATGGTTGAAAGATTTGCTTATGCATGGCTTAGTTATTTTAATTGTAATAGTAGCAGTTGTAATGATTGTACCATGTATCATAACAATAGTTGAACGTATGATTGCAAAAGCATTTCATGTAACTTGGCTTACACAGAAAACAAAAAGGGGGAATGGTGGGAGATTTCATGGAAAATGGGGGACATTTCTTTGAGCCTGATTATTTAGAGTTAGCATAAGTAGGCCGCAGTTAGCATGAGTGGGCCGGAGTACGTGACAGCTGCAGTATGAATGGACTTTGAACCACCAGAAAAACAACGGACATAAGGAACTTGGACAGTGGAGCAATTAATAAACAAGATAACACAACTGCAGAGGCAAGAAGGAGCTACAAGAGCTTTAATGCAATTAAGAAAGCTGTCATTTCGGCTTAGAGCATTTAGCTGTGGGATGGGGACTTAGGAGTTGGTTTGTATCTTTGTCAAAAATCGGGGTTTCTTTTATTCTTATGTATTTTATTAGGTATAATGTTGCTTTTACTGTGTTTAATTAATTGTGTTCATAGATCTTTGCAATGGGCAATACAGCAGGTGTTAATTGATGGAAAACAAAAAAGGGAGTAGGGAATCTCTCTCCACAAGAAAAGTTAGATAAAGCCAAAATTAGGGGTAAGGTCATGGTTTTAGTTGAGAATGTAGAAACAGGGCAATGGGAAGGTCCATTTCCATTAATAACCTGGGGGCAAGATTATGATTGTGTTTCCACAGATACAGGCCCACAATGGACTCCCGCTCGATTTGTACGACCATCATCATCTGGAACCTCCTAGATGGTGCGGCAATATGAATACCACCTCAGCCAAAAACTAACGTGTAGGTCACCTTGGCCAACATAACAGGTCAAGATTCTCTGTGCATTGCAACCGCATCATAAAGCCCACGAACTAATAGACAAGATGGCTATGACTCATGTAGCGCACCTGGCCAGCGAGCGCATGCATCATAGATTGCAACCGAGGCGGACTTTCGGCACCCGCTGGCCACGTGTGCTGAAACCCGTTCCTCTGCAAATGTATAAATACCGGGATTTTCCGAAGAGCATCGGGCTGGTGTACGGCAAGGCCATCGTTGCCTCCGTGGGGACGCCCACGCAAAGCTGGCACCTACCGATTGCTGGGGTGAGTTCGCACAGATGGTTCATCTACCTCACAGTCTTCGGATGGACGTACTCATGGATACCGCCGCAAACCAAAGAACAAGCAATCCCTTTTTCATAGGTTTAATAGGGGGTCCCATGACATCAACAAAGTTTAAGAACTTATTGATGGAGACCCCTGTGTGGCAGGTCATGGACTCAATGGATGGGAATGCCTGGTTTCCACAGATCGGGCATTCACCCTCATTGCCACCCCAGGAATCACAAACTCTGGGGTCCCTGAATACAGACTGGTGTAGTATTATCTGATTTACTGTTAGATGTAGATAGTATTAGACACACAACCTTACAAAGTAGAGCTGCTCTTAAATCATTAGTTAAGATAGTTTTGATTTATCTTGTAGTGGGTTTTTTTTGTATTTTAATTTTTGTGCCTTGTATGTTGCAATGTGTTTAAAAATTAATTGATAGATCAAGTAAGGCTGTGTTAATTGACAAAAAAAACAAAAAAGGGGGA